ACGACCGTTATAGTTTGTCGCTTTCCCGTCAGTTCTGCTCACAAAAATCAACCTACTGATTTTGCTTATCACTGAGCCATTTTTCATCTGCTTGTATTGCATGTGTGCTAAGGTTGAACGTTGGTTGACGAAGTGCAAGCTGAATGATCTGTAGTAGCAGAAATCATTACTCGATGTGAAATACGAATACGGTACCTACACGGACCATGCACCTAAGCAATAGCAAAACGTGTGTATCAAACTGTAGGCTGTAGCGTATCAACCTGAACAGATTGTACGCACAGTTTGAGCAACAGCAAATCAACGGATTGTGCTCGGTGTGGTTTTGTACGTCTGTGATAATGGTAGGCGGCTTCATCTTCATCCAGCTCAATGTCCCGCCTATCTTATGGACTCCATCCCAAATGTGCAATGAAGAAACTACCAGGTGAACATCAGGGATCTGAATCAAAGCAAATTTTCTCTCAACAATGAAAGTAGTTCATTCAAGCCAACCTGAAAAATTCTATCGATATCACTTTATCTAAACGATTCACCATGAGACAAAATTATTTTTCGTTTATTTCTGTGATTGTGCAATAAACATGTTATATCTGTGTGCGGTCAAACTAAAAATCAAGGGTAGTTTTCCTGGAAAATGAGTAGTGGTATTGCGCTGAATTGATTAAATTGACAGTTTCTTCGTGAACACGTGCATCGGCTATCCACTGCCGAACTTTAGATGAAAGAAAACCTTCCGTGCTACTTGATGTGTTCTGTCATCAGCGAAAAAGCCTACTGGATGCTTTTCATGAATAGCATCAATCAGCACCGCCGCCATATAGCAGCTAGTTCGCCCTGTTCGAGAACTACCAAGTAAATGACATAAATGACACAATTGGTTATATCCCTTCAACTCTACTTCGAATACCACTGTTGGGTATTCCTCTTCCCTTGACTATGCGACCATGATCTGCTGACGTCCATAGCCATGGGAATCACCAATCCACACACCCCTTTCTCTATCTTAATATAGCAGTAGCTTCTCCATATTTTCGTTGCCTACCTATGTTTAAGTAAGTTTGGTCGTCCAAGTCTGGTTTAGTTCACACAAAATCCGTTTCTTGTACGCTCGAACAACTATGGCTACACACACGCATAGTCTCGCGCACACACTGCTGACCGGTATGTGCGCTTCCCACTAGCCCCACATCTAGAACCGTTTTGCTACCGGCTAGATTATAATCACCTCGGGGCTCTTCGCGGTTTTTGTGCGTTTCGAGAATACAGGTGCCAAACGGAACAGCCAGCTATCGATCGGTCATCCAATTTTACGGTCTACGTTCCTTCTCTTGCCATGCTAGAAACATGTTCCTGTTCGATTGTGTGTTTACATGCCCTAGTCCGAGAAAATTACCGTTGCCTTAGAAACCACAGAAACGAGCATAGAATGTGCTAAATTAGTTCCGTTATCCTCCAGTCTCCTATCAGTAGTTCGTTGTATTAACATGCTGGCTTGAAAAACAATACGAGGGGAAGTTGAAGAGTAACACGACAATTCCATTGTAACAGTCACTGAACGCCAAACATTGTTGCAATCAATCTCAAAGTGCGGCATGTGGGACACGGTTTCTGAATGATCGATCCATCGAGAATTTTCTTCAACCTGTTTTATGTTGACTCAAGTAAAACACGCGATGTGTATTTGGTACTGCTTAAAGGATATTTAATCCTGTTAATTCCTAACCTTTGTATTCTAATTTTTATTTGCCTTTCTTTGTGTGGAATTTTTGTTCAACCTTACAACTCATATCCTTCTTAGGTGGCTGGTATGGCTTCTCGCCGCCTTGGCGTTGGCGTTGCTGTACTCAACGGTCAGTTGTACGCTGTTGGTGGATCGGACGGACAACAACCGTTATCTTCCGTGGAGCATTATGATCCTCGTGTGGGCACATGGCACCGCATGTCATGTATGGGCACACGACGAAAGCATTTGGGTGTAGCTGTGTACAACGGACTTATCTACGCCGTAGGCGGTCGTGACGAGGTGACCGAATTGTCCTCAGCTGAATGTTTTGATCCACGCACTCGCACCTGGTCTCCGGTGGTCGCGATGACTTCCCGACGAAGTGGGGTAAGATCTCCGTTATTTTTTTCACGATCTCGTGAGCATTCATTGTGTCTCGTCAGCATCATGGAATATTGATGGTTTTTTGCTAGGACGCTTAGTTGCAGTATTCCACTCATCTCAAAGTGAATAAATATGCACATATTAACCAAACTCTCGCAACATAACTTCCATTTTGGAACCATGTTTCAGTCATCAATACCATACGTGTAGATCGATAGTTTTGGGTGAAAAGTATTTATTCTGAAATGTTTCTCCCACTGCAATGTTCTTAGTTTTCTTCTGTCACCATCTGAATCTGCGCGACCTTGAGTGTTGTGACTAAGTAGTTCGAAAGTTGCAGCTCAAACTTTAAAAATATTTTATGCAAAACAGCATGAAAATTCACTCTTTCTAATAAATGACTCCTGGTTCTTTTCATTCAGCGCACAGTAAATAAGCAAAAAAAAAAATGAAAATCTTCTAGCTTAAATAAGTTGATAATGTATTAGGCTATAAACTACTGACGCTTTATCCCTAATACTGAAAAAACTAAAAAATATATTCCAAGAAGCATGATTGTTGACCTTCGAACGGTAATTTTGAGGTGTGCGGCTCGTTTAATAAAAGTCTTGTGGTGTAACCATGCTCAAACCGGATAAAACAAAAGTTTTCGGCATGTATTTGAAGCCGAGAGGTACATCAATCCAATAACTCAGTTATTGACTCGTGCACTTGCTCCGATGTGAACATAAGCCCAATTTGTCGCACAAGCGGAGGGCTTTCTCCATCGAGACATGAGCCAAGAGGAAGAAAACCGATCACATCGAAGCAAGACGATAGTTGAATTTGATCGCGGTGGACAGAAATTGCACAAAACCAATATGGACAACAGTCCGGGCGGATAAGCCGTTTTTCCTCACGCTACTGTCTGGAAAATGATGGCTCAATTTGAAATACAGCTGAGACCATCATCATCATCATCGTACAGCGAGATACAGTGAAGCTTCGCTGCCAAGCTCACAATGTACACAAATCAAATGATAAAGCACAAGGTGGAGAGGGATTGCGCCTACTTGGAGGGAGGGGAGAAAAAGAACCTCTATGTTCAACACGCAGAGCACACAATCTAAGTGTTCATGCATACCTTTTTTCAAGCATTCTGCCTTGTTAANCGTAAGCCCGGACTAAACTTCAGCTATTAGTATAAAGCGATCGTAATAATAAAATAAACTTCTCGGGCACACCCTTCAGGAAAAGGCAGCGCCAGGGTTTACAGTGATTGACTGAGTTGAAAGCCGCTTTTAAATCGAGAAAAACGGAGATGACGGGTCTACGAAAGGAATTTCGATGCTCCATAATTTGGCGGAGAGTGAATATGTGGTCGATACAGCCTCGACCGGGTCTAAAACCAGTCTGGTTCTCACGCGCGCAGTTAACTTGTGGCAGACATCATCATCATCATCATCGTACAGCGAGATACAACGAAGCGAGCTTCACTGATCGCTGCCAAGCTCACAATGTACACAAATCAAGTGATAAAACATAAGATGGAGAGGGATTGGGCTTACTTAGAGAGAGGAAAAGAAAAATAACCTCTATATGTTCACCACAGAGCACACAATCTAAGTGTTCATGCATACCTTTTTTCAAGCATTCTGCCTTGTTAATAAATGACAACAAGAGCGCCATTGCTGTCGCTCAGTCGCCATATCCTTTAATGTCTCCAGCCAACCAATTGTGGAGCCTTTCGGACCCCAACCTGGATGACGGGAGACACCGATTCTACCTAATTGCTCTGTGCATTTCTCCAAGCCTCGCTTCCACGTCATCTGTTGACCACCACGCAGTTTCTTCCAACCTGGAGCTGTAACTGCAAACAAGGCGCGGTGCCTCAGACGATGGCTGGGCATACGCAACACATGTCCTAACCAGCGAAGCCGACTGATCTGAATTCGATGGGACAACGAATTATCCATCGAATCATTACCAAATACGCGACGCCTCACCTCAGAGTTGCTTACAAGCTNTCGCTCCATCCAACCCGAGCCAAACTACGTAAACATCTGCAGTCGAATACTTCAAGACGACGAATATCTTCCACGCGCAAAGTTAGGGTCTCGCAGCCCTAAAGCAGAACTGGCCGCACACTGGCGCAGTATACACGACCTTTCAGTTTCAACGAAACATCGCGTCTACGCCGAAGGTGCTTCAATCCTGCGAAAGCTGCTTGAGCCTTGGAAATGCGGGCGGTTACTTCATTGGCAATGCTACTGTCATTTGAAACGCAGCTAAGTAGGTGAAACATTCCACTACAGCTAATTCTTGACCATCAAGCATCAGCGCTGGGG